CCCCCCCCCCGCCCCTTTTCTCCTTCTGCTTGTCCCCCTCTTTTGCCCAGTGACGACCACGAGAACACTGTCCTGCACCTGGCCTGCCGTAATAACCAGCCGGAGGTGGTGACCATGGCCCTGGAGTTTGGTGTTGATCCGAACGCGGTGAACTCCACCGGCGACACGGCCCTGCACTATGCCGCCATGTCCGGCAACTTGGACCTGGTTGAAAAGGTGCGCGTGCCTGCGCCTCTCAGGCATCTCCTTTGGCCGCATGAAAGCTGACCCTTTCCGTCTGCCGGGGTTTCTTTTCTTCGCATTTCGCTTGTCTGCCCGCGTGTGCGTGTGTATGCAGCTCATCGCGGCCTCGGCTAGTCTCAACGTTGCCAACGACCACGGCAACATCCCGCTGCATTACTCGTGCTTCTGGCGCCATGAGCACATTTCACGGGTGCGCTCTTGCCTCTTGCTCCGGCCGGGATGACATTCCCCCTGTGGCGTCCCGTGTCATGCGCTCGCTTCATCTCCTGACGCTGGTCCCTCCTCCCCGTGCCCGCGCTCGCATCCCCACCCGCCTGTGAATGTGTGCAGTTCCTCATTGAGAAGGGCGAGCTTGTGACCGCGGTCAACTCCTTCCAGAAGTCCCCCCTTGACCGTGCCGGCCCCGAGCTGTCCGCCGCTCTCCTGGGTGCGCTCAGCCGCCCTTCCTGGCGCTTCCTCTTCCTCCTCCGCCGCGTTCTCCCTCGTTCTGCCTCGCCCATATCCTCCTCGCTCTTCCCTTCCCTCCCTCCCTCCCTCCCCCCCCCCCCCCCCCCTCTGTCTCTCACCCCTTCTCTTCCCGCTCCGGCGTGTCCCGATTGTGCAGAGTTTGCCCAGCAGTGCGGTCAGGAGACCTCGGCCCAGGTGCAGCTTCCCACCCGTAACTTCGAGGAGGCCGGTGCGTTCTGCCTCTGATCGCTCCCTTCACCTCCCGCACGCGCGCGAGTCTCACCTCCCCCCCCCCCTCCCCTCCCCGACCGATACACCCTCCTCCCCCTCCGGCAGAGAGCATCGCCCGCATTCGGTTCCTCATCAAGAGTATGTCGCCCCCTGGCTTTTGCCGCTGCTTTCTGCCTCCTGCTCCGACGCGGCGGCCGCCCCCTTGCTAACTGGCTCCCCCCCCCCCGGGCCCATGTAGATGCTCCCTCCTGGCAGGTCAGCTCCAACCTGCTGGACTTCCAGGAGCTTCTGGCTTCGCCGTCGCCCTTCGCCTCGGTCTACAAGGGCGAGTGGTCCGGCTTCCAGGTGGCCATCAAGCAGCCGCATCCGCACATCCAGGAGAACAAGCAGATGACCTCCAACATGGAGCTGGACATCCTGGACAAGCAGGTCACCATGATGCGCGACCTTTTCCATGTCAACCTGCTGCCGATCCTGGCCGGGTGCACGGAGCGCGGCAACTGGTGCCTGGTCACCGAGTTCCAGCCCGTTGGCAATCTCGGTCTCCTGCTCCAGGACCCGGCTTACTCGATGGATCAGTACCAGGGTGCGGACAAGCGCATGATACTGGCTCCTCCGGCGGTTGGCCCCCTCCTTTACTGATGTTCCCCCCCCCCCCTCCCCCCTCTCCCCCCTCTGCCCCCTCTGCCCCCTTGCTCCTACTCGCCAAGCCATTCGCTTTGCCGTGGAGACCTGCCGCGGCGTGGCCTTCCTCCATGAGAATGGCATCCCGCATGGGGCGCTCAAGCCGTCCAACATCCTGGTCACCGATGATGGTGGCATTCGCATCACCGACTACGGGCTGTCCAAGGTGAAGGCCTTCCGTGGGTCGTATGGCGGCGCGCAGATTTTCGAACCGCACTGGATTGCCCCGGAGAGTATGTTGCTGCCGGGCCCTCGCCGCCGGCTCCTTGCCCAGCCCCGGTCGATTCTTCCTCCCCTGCCCCTCCGCTTCTCTTGCTGGACTTGCCGGTCTGACTGCTGAGCTGCTTCCTCTTCCTCTTCATTTTTCTCTGGCCCGCGTGGTGTGGAATAGTCTTCCTTGAGGAGCCGCACCCCGACAAGGACATTCGCCCGGCCGATGTCTACGCCTTCGGCATGGTTCTCTTCATGATTGTGACTCGTCTTCTGCCCTTCGAGTCGATGCATCCCATGGCCATCGGTCATAAGGTGCGCTTTCGTCCCCCCCCCCCCCCCCCTCCCACTTTCCATTCCCCATGCATTTGGCCTTGCTGGTTGTTCTTTTTTTCCTCTCCCTCTGACGCTCTTGCCCGACCGGACCGGACAACAGGTTGTCACCCAGTCCCTCCGTCCGACCATGCCATACTTCGTGCCGGAGCACCTGTCCAAGCTGATCTCCCTGTGCTGGCAGCAGGACCACACTCGCCGCCCGTTGATTGGCCAGGTTCTCCCGATCTTGGAGAAGCTCCACTCCTGAGCCGGGGGGACACACGGCCCTGGGAGGCAGTCGGGCCACTTGGCCATGGGGACGCAGTGATCCGGTGTCTTGCTTCGGCCCTTCCCCTCGACGGGGGCCGGGGCGAGGCACCATCTGCTGGCCGGTCTCCTGCATGTGGCGGTGGTGCATCTGCATCTCCTATCGCGTGTCACCGTTGAGGACACGGACATCGAAGTAATACAGCGTTTCAAATCCCGAAATTGCTGTGCACATGCGCACGAGCCTCCCTCGTCACGCCCCGGGCGGAACAGGAGCAAGGCCAGGAGCAAGGCCGGGGGCAAGGCCAGGAGCAAGGCCAGGAGCAAGGCCAGGGACATACACTCAGGGCGAGGGGGAGGGCGTGGGATACAACGGAGAAGCATGGGTCCAAGGGGGTCTAGTATACAGAGCGTGGCAAGAATGCACACACAGGCGGAGCCAAGGGGGGAGCCGAGGGACAGGAAAGGATGGGAGGCGGCCCGGGCCGGGGGCGGCCACGTCGGACGCTCACTTACGACCGCCAATCTTGGCACCACCACGCAGGCGCTGCAGGGCAGTGGCCGGGCGGGCCTGCTCGCGAGCCAGCGCAGCGCTGTCCGAAGTCTTGACCACGCGCAGGGGCTTCACCGAGCCGGCAGACACACGCGCGGCCAGGGAGGTCTCGATCTGGCGATGGATGGCGGCACTCAGTTTCTGCATCAGGGCAACGGGGGGATGGTTCAATCACATTTGAGAGAGGGGCAGGGGAGGGGGGAGGGGGAAGGGGGAGGTTAGAAGATGACCAAATGGAAAAGTGCGCGGCGCGCAGGGCCAGCGCCACAGCGCAGATGCACTCGCAGAGGGGCTAAACAACCTTCTGGACCTTGGTGGCGGCCACAACATTGGCCTTCTTGGGGGCGATAACACGGATGCCGGGCTTGGTGCTGCGGATCTTGGCGATCTGGGCACGGCTCTTGGCCGCGCGGTTGACACTCCGAAGAGCCTTGGTACCCTGGGCCATTGTGTCAGGGGGGAGGGGGCAGTGCAGGGGGGGGGGAAAGACGGGAAGAGGAGAAGAGAGGGATACGCAGCGCGTTACAGCGAGGCGGTGCAGGGCGAGGCGTTTTGGGGCCAGGACAGGGGGGAGGGGGGGGGGGGGGGGGGGGGGAGACCTGGAGGGCGCCCACACCTGGCCGGCCGAGGCGCCCTTCCCGAAGAATGCCCCACCCCGGGTGCGGGAGACGAGGCGCATGCGGTGGCATTTGGATCACGCCGTCTTCGCGTGACCCCCTCGAGGGGGCTGACCTGCCTGGAACCAGGCAAATCGGCCCTCTGGATGGGTTTTGACTATCTCGCGCGCGTTCTCCCTTGTGGCCGGGGCCGGTTCGCGGGTTTCGTCCTCCCGGCCGGGCTGGTGTTTCCCTGCCGCCGGGGCCTCCCTCGGCGAGGCCGCCTGCGCGAGCCCTCCCGCCGGGCCGGGGGCGGGGCTGCGGGGGGGAGGGGGATGTTTCGCCCTCAGCGACGCCCTGGCCCAGGTGGCTGGCTCGCATCGCATCCCTGGCGGTCCCCGTGTCGCGGCTGGCATCTTGCCGGTGTGCCGGGGGAGGCCTGTGCGTGTATCTCCCCCCCCCCCCCTCCCCCCGGCCCGTGGACATTGCTGGCCAGGGAGACCGCCCCCTGGGCGCCCTATCGGCGGTTGCCCCGGGGCAGGGGGAACAAGGGCAGGGGCGCGAGATCGGCCGGCGATCCCCCGTGTGCCCTGACTGTGGCCTTCTTCTCATCGGAGCCGGCGTCCCTGCCTGTGTGTGTGTGTGTGTGTGTATGGGTGTTTGGGCTTGTGTGTGTTCCCCCTGACCCGGCTCCCCTCCCGGTGAACTGGGAGTGTCCCCCCCCCCCATACGCACGGAGGGGGGCAGAAAGCCGCCCGACAATGCCCCGCCCTCGGGACTGGGGGCAGTCTCCCGGGCCTGCGCGAGAATGGGGCGCGCAGGCGACCGCCGCCGGGTGTTTTTATCTGGGGCTCACACCGGCCCCATCCCCGAGGGGCGGACGGGGACGATGCGGCTGGAGCCAGTTTTCGCCGGTGCCCCGTCGCGGAGGCGGCCGCCCCCAGCACAGCCCCATTGGTGGCTGGTCCTGGGCCGGCCGGCGTGGCATTTGAGAGTCTGCAAGGGCGCACGCGTGTGTTGTGCGCGCGCGTCCGTGCGTCCGTGCGTCCGTGTGTGTTTATGTGTGTTGTGTGTGGTGCTTCCGTGCGCACGCGCGCGCCCGCGCGCGGGCCCCTCAGGCGACTGTCTCAGGATCAGCCGGCGGGTTTATAAGAGACCGCGGCACGGATCGCCACTGCCAGGGCCGGCGGCACAGAGCTCCACGACACCCTGTTTTTGCTCCCCATCCCCATCCATACCCCATTCGCCACCATGTCCCTTGTACGCACGAGATCCCGCCCACGCCCATCCTGCCACCTCTGCTTTGGCGGCTGCTGTCCCCTTCGCCCGGCTTACCTCTGCTCCCTCCCACCGGCCAATGCGCCCGCGCGACCGACTCCCCGATGTATGTGCATGGGCGCATGCGTGTGTCTCCCCCCCCCCCCCCCCCCCCCCCCCCCCCC